ATCTATCTATCTATCTATCTATCTATCTATCTATCTATCTATCTATCTATCTATCTATCTATCTATCTATCTATCTATCTATCTATCTATCTATCAAGAAAAAATATATCACTACAGCCGTCTTCTTCCGCTTTCAAGCATGAATGGCAAGGTCGTACTTTGATGAAGCCATTCCAAAACCTCTTTTTTTGAGTCTTTGGGGGTGGACTTCATCTGTTTCATATTATAGTCCTTTTGCAAAACCCAAGTGCTCGTGAGCTTCAGGAAATAAACTGATGGTCAGACATTTTCCTTCAGGAAAGTCTTGTATAATTCATGGCTCCATCAAGTCATCCAGGTCCTGAAGCAGCAAAGCAGGCCCAGACCATCACACTACCACCATGACTGTTTGACGCTGTGCTAGCTTTATACCAGATGCAACAGCACTCACATTTTGTCTTGTGAATCCAAATGTGAGATGAACCTTTGTGTTCTTTTTGGTCAGCAGTAGTTTTCTCATTTGAACTGTCCCATGGATGCCATTATCGCTCAGTGTGTTTCTTATTGATGAATCAACACTGAATATGACTGAAGTAAGTGAGACCTGCAGTTCTTTATATGTTGTTCTAGCTTTGTTTTTAACCTCACAGATGAGCCGTTGATGCTGAGTTGTTGAGGCCAACCACTCCTGGGAAGGTTCTTTACTGTTTCAAGTTTTATCCATTTACGGATAATGGCTCTCATTGGGGTTCACTGGAGTCGTAATGCCTTAGAAATGGTTTTGTAACCCTATTCAAACTGATAGAGGCAATAAAAAAGTGTGATAAATATGCAAAAATCTAAGAAATTTACAACAGGACAATCTGTCGGATGATGAGTGTAATCAGGATGCACTTGAGCTCAATTCTAAATGGTATGGCGAAGGCTGGAATTACCTTTGTATACGTTTTATATATATATTTTTTTAATCTTTTAATAATAGAGTGTTGTGTTTAGAAGTTTAAGGTGAAAAATAAATGTAACATGACAAAATAAAAGTGAAAAGTGAAGCACTTTGAATACTTCCTCGATACATTAAATACACTCAACAAAAATATAAACGCAACACCTTTGTTACTGCTCCCATTCCCCATGGGATGGACGTAGAGACCTAAAATTCATTCCAGATACACAATATAACCA